AGGGAATAATGAAGGCAGGCAGAGGGTCAGTTTAAGCCACATGCAGTTTGATTCAACACACTGTCTTGGGGCCACATTCAGATATGAGGAGCTCATCTCAACCACACACTTACTTTGTAGGCAGTAGCATTTAGGCCAGGAGAATTGCTGATGGGGCAGAAGCTACTCACCCTAGACAGAACAAGCACAGGATTTAGGAAGAGATCTGGTCGCATCCCTCACTGCTGTTGTTACTTCCATTTGACTACACAACCCTTACCTGATCTGATCAAGGCACAGAGTCTCTCCTTGGGCAAAGGAATCATATGGCCACATATTGTGATGTCTTTACAGTCTTCAATCTTACCATAATCTCTTCACATGTTACCTACTGACTGCCTGCATTTAAAGTGCATCTGATGTTACTAATGAGTTTTCTCAATTAAAAATAATTGATGACAAATGTGAAACAATTCAATTTTTTTCTATATGAGAAACATCTGTATTTTCTAATTAAAAACTCTAAATGTCGCTGTACAATAATGCCAAAATTAACAAAGATACATAAAATAAATCCAATTACTAAAGACCAACAGAATGAAATTCAAAGACGATGAAAATGTATCGTTATAATGTTTTATTGTGTGTGTATACTACACACAATTACCACATAACATTCTAATCTAAATCATCATAAACTTCTATGCCACATGTTTCAGTGTTAAGTGTCCAGGAATGGAAATTTAAAAATTAGCTGAATGTTCAGTTTGCTTTTGCTTTTCGGACTCTGGAAATCTGCATGGTTCAAGATCCTTTTGTTTGCTTTCAAGAGAAAGGGAGAATTTGTGCCATCTGAAAGGTGAGAGGAGACAGTATATTTTAGCAAGCCAGAGGTACACGAGTCAGAGCTATTTGGCAGCTCTTTTACTCCTTCAGAGCAACCAGACTCCCCCTGCACTGCTGTTTTAGGCGGAAGGTTCTGCATTACCACTTACAATACTGCCATCTATTGACGTCCGTGGGCTTTTATCTCTTATAATCTATTTTCCCTCAGCAACTTCTTGCACTTTTATTGTTTTTCGCGATGGGATTTATCTGGCTAAATATACACAACTGCAATAAAAGCACCTTGTGAGAATTGCCTCAGGCTTCCTCGAAAATCAGTGGAAGAAAAAAGCACTTCTGGGGTGTGATTCATTTCTACCCAAAGTAGATAACCAACATATATCAGATGAACAGCACCCAAAAAGCACTACTGTGCTTTGCCCGTGGCTATAATGGTATCTGAAGAGTGACTAACTCAGGTGTAGAGATCACTGTCAGACTGTAAGTAAGCACATAAAGACAGCAAAAGAAATGCTACCCCCTTACCCGGTGATGAAAGTTTTCAGAGATGCTGCTGATTTTTAATTCATTAACTTGTATTCATGTTCAATGTGGCCACAGGTGCTACAGAAGAGACATGCTATCTACCTACATCTAACTTTGAATAAGAGTAAAGTCATTTGGTGTAGAACTCCAGCTCCACTTCTTATTTTTCTTGGCAGTAAAATCGTCTTTAAGATATTTCTACCTGTCCCCCAACTCTGCCTCTGGTAGCCTGTACCTCAAAAAGCTAGAGGTGATTAAGAGAAGTCTCACACGTAGTTTCACACACGCAAACACATGCACACACTCCCTCCCTTCCACACTCCCTGCCCTGAAAGGGATATCAATCTTCTCCTGTAAATTTTATGAATTGTAGATTCAAATTATACAAGAGCTAGACTGAAGTAGGATCTGTTTTAATCCAAATATGCAATTTGCACCATGGTTGGAAATCTGCTACAAATAATGCATAATATGATTTTGTCTTAATAAAGGACAAGCAGGGTCAATAACTGCAACACTTTGGCCAATCAATAATTAGACCACAGTTCTAAAGGTGACTTTTCTTGGATTATATTTTGGATTATATTTAACTCAGTAGAGAACCCTTTCAGTAACACAATCTTCACAAAATAATGGTCTACATACAAATTCTCATAAGTTTAAAGTTTAGCAAAAGTACATTTGTGTGTAGCAGATGCATACTTTTTGAACAGCAGTACAAGAAAAATAGGCTACTGCCTACTTTCCAACTTCCTATCATTGCCCCCCTGTTCTGGAAGCTTCCACCCCTTCAGATCTGATGCCCAGAATGCTGTTTTCAGCTCATATAAGCAGTAAAGTGCATTGCAGATTTAAACTTTCTACATTTTTTTACAAAACTCCAGTCATTAAACTCATTGCTTCTTAAAGAATAAGTTAATTGAATTAATTAACTAATTAGTGAACCAGAGTGGCTGACAGAGTGGCTGACAAATGCTTTCTAAGATGTCCAGACTTGACAACTTCATATGCTGCTTCTCATAAAGAAATTTCCCTACTCTAATAGCTGGTCTTGTCTAACATTTCACTCTCTTGCCAGGAAACATTTGCAAGCAAATAATGTCCTTATTTTCAGCCTATTGGAGCAACATTGAAAGCTGTAGAGAACACAGTCATGGGAGAAAGTAGTTCCAAAGGGACATGTTGCGTTATGGGACACCATTGATAAAACTGAGCAGTCAAACCAAAGCTCCCCTGTCATGCATCTGGCACTCAACCTGCAAAAGAAGATCTCATGTTGGAATAAACAGGAGCTACACTTCCCTCACCAGCATTAGCTTTGAGAAATAAATTGCAGGGGTATTCACTCCATTCCAGACCCAGATTACATTTTTCATGTATCATGGGTGTAGAAGAAAAGTATTTACTAATCAAAAATTAATGTGAGACCTTCTCTACTGGTGGGTTGTGTGGGGGCCTGCATAAGGGTGTTGTCTTTAAAAGCAAATTTTTATGCCAGGTTGCTCCTTCTCCTCTGATAAGGTAGACTTTAAACTCATTAATTATCTACGTGGATTTCCAAGGAAAACACAGCTCTTGGAGCAGCAGATATTTTGTGGAGCGAAAGATTCAGAAGTGATCAAGTGAAAGTGATCAGGTGAAACACAGAAAGAAATCAGTCTTCAGCAGGCAGGAAGTTCTAATCTAACTGTTCAAAAAATGTATATAATCAGAGGTTTATTTAATGTAATATTCATTTATATCTTGTAAGATAGATAACTTTTTTTTGTCGTTCCAGACAATAACTGTGCAACCACAAATATACATAAGTAAGGCAGGTAGCAGGGAATAAGTGGGAAGCAGTGAATGAAGAGAATGTGCATTTTATAAGTAAGACTATCCTAAAATAATAGTCTTTCAAACTGAAATATTACAGAATAAGAACAGCATGATTCCATTTGCAAAATCTACATAGCGTTACTTGAAATCTTTGCTTGTGACTGATAAGGTTAATAAAACCAACACATATGCCAAGTCTTTGTGCAGTGTGCCTTGATGCCTTTCTCCCACACAAAGTACAGCAGTTCAGCAATAATTCATGCCTTCATTTTAATATATATGTAACATAAGAATCACTTCATTGAGTCTAACCACAGGCCATGCTCATGTGTTACAGCCCATCCATGAGTTGTCTAGACAAGAGCACAAATGATGGGGTGGCATGGTCTGGTGAGAGTATTGTGCTATTCAGTACAGAGAGCTGAGGGGTTTATTGACCATGAAGAAACACACAATAACATTATGGTACCTATGAGAGAACTGAGTTTGTTCAGCCTGGAAAAGAGCGGGCTTAGGGGTGACCTAATTGCAGCTTCCAGTATCTAAAGGGAACTTATAGGAAAGATGAGGCAAGATTATTTACAAGAGCATGTAGTGACACAACAAAGGAGAATGGTTTCAAACTGACAGGGTAGGTTTAGACTAGATAATAGAGAAAAATTCTTTACTGTGAGTGCGGTGAGGCACTGGAACAGGTTGCTCAGAGAAGTTGTGGATGCCCCATCCCTAGAAGTGTTCAAGGCCAGGTTGGATGGGGCTCTGAGCAACATGGTCTAGTGAAAGGTGTCCCTGCCCATGGCAGGGGGCTTGGAACTAGATGATCTTTAAGGTCCCTTTCAATTCAAACCAGTGTATGATTGTATGATCCTATGATTCTATGTTAATAGCAGACAAATTTAACATAGATAATATGAAATGCTACATAGGGAAAAACACAATCGCTGTTCCACTGGCCATGACAGGTCCCCAAGGGGCTGTTCACATGAAAATACTAGCACAGTACAGAACCTGAACAGAAAATTTAGAAATTAATTAGGGAAACAAATAATAACCAAAGGGTGAAGTATAACAGTGCCACGCCACCACCACCACCACAGCACATCCAGGTTTTGAGTAACGCTTCAGCTTGTGGAGCACTCCACGTGCTCTGGGACTAGAGGCAGTAATGAGGGACTGGGGGGGGGGGGGGGGAAGCAGGAGCTCACAGCTTGTCCAGAGGAGGGCAAGGAAGCTGGTGAAGGGTCTGGAGCACAGAGACTACGAAAAGCAGCTGAGGGGGTTGGGGTTGTTTAGCGTGGAGAAAAGGAGGCTCAGGGATGACCTTATTGCTCTCTACAACTGCTTGAAAGGAGGGTGTAGCCAGGTGAGGGTTGGCCTCTTCTCCCAGGCAACTATGACAGGAGAAGAAGCCATGGTCTTAAACTGTGCCAGGGGAGATTCAGGTTGGACATTAGGAAGAATTTCTTCACAAAAAGAGTGATGGAATGGACTGCCCAGGGAGGCGGTGAAATCACCATCCCTGCAGGTGTTTAAGGAAAGACTGGACGTGGCACTTGGTCTAGTTGACATGACGGTGTTCGGTCATAGGTTGGACTCGATGATCTCGAGAGAGGTTTTTCCCAACCTAATTTATTCCGCGATCCTATGATTCTGTGAGCTCACAGCGCCACCTCCGTGAGGGGCAGGCGGCCCCACGGGCCATGTCTCTCCCCTCAGAGGCGGCTGCGGGTCCCGGCGGCGCCTCCCCGCGCACCACGAGATGGCGCCGCGGGGCCGGGGAGCGGCCGGGCGGAAGCGGCGGGGGAAGCTGCGCTCGGCCCCGCCGGAACGGAGGGAGGGAGGGAACGCTGGAGGCGGCCCTGCTCGGTTCCGTTCGCCCGCCAGAGCTTCAGGCTGCCCGGGTGGGTGCGGGGATGGCGGAGGGTGGCTGCGGGAGCGAGAGAGCCAAGGGCTCCGTGGGGAGGTGTGGGAGCCCGGGCGCCTGGTGGGGCGGAGCGGCGGTGGTTGTGGCAGCAGGCGGTGGTGATGGCACCATGCGGTGGTGGTAGCACCAGGCGGTGGTTGTGGCACCAGGCGGTGGTTGTGGCACCTGTACGGGCGCGGGGCTTTTCCGTTCCTTTTCTCTGCAGCATGTCGGCCCCGGTCCCGAGGCGGCGGTGAGGAAGCTCGGGCGAGAGCGGTGCTCTGTGCGCTGGGGCCGGGGCAGCCGGGCACAAGGCCTATGTTCCTACCACTTCTCGGGTATAATTGTTTGCCCTATTTGCAGAGGCGAGAGCTGCCCGTGGCTTCTGTGAGCCTTAGAGTCACTGGCCAGAGTCTGGTCACGACACGTGTGCCACCAGGAAATGAACTATGTAGTGGCGAAGTTTCATTCTTCTCCTTGTTTACAGCTAAACTGAGCGGCCATACACGAAACATAAGTTTACTGGGGCTACTGATAGTTGTACAGCTTTTAGCACTTTGCTTTTAACCTCTGACTTTTGGCCCAAATAGCTTTTGGGTTTATGTCCTGGACCTCAGAGAATAAAGATCCTCTTTTAGGTAGCCACAGATGATTACACTGTCTTAGCCTCTGCTCGGGCCAAAAGAGCCATAATAAATAAGCTAAAGCTTGAAAACATTACTTTGCCTTATGTGTGATTTGTATCCCTTCCATCCACAGCAATTGCTGCTGTTGTTGTGAGGAGACTGGTGTGAACATCATAGTGATAGGTGGGTCTTCACAGCACTCCTGTTGGGATGGGAAGCAGCTGTAACTCTACTGTAAGTGCTGGACAAGTCTTGTATGTACTGCCATTCCCAAACAAGAATGCAGTGTATAGTGCTGAGAATTTCTGCCCCTTCTTTTTTAAGGGATATAACTTTTGCTGCCAACTGTCTCAGCAATCCCAGGCTTATATGTCTCCATGGCTGTAACTAGGGCGCTTCAGTATTAAAGTTAACGTCACAGACTAGCAATGCACAGTATTAATCTGAAGCACAGGATGTCAAACTGCTTTTCAGACATTTCCCTCTTCTGTTGGTAATTCTACACCAAGAATAAGCATCAGAAGTATAAAATTAAATAAATGTTTATGGGAGGATGCACACACTTGCTGAAATCAGGAGAAATGTACCTGGAAAAGTAATTCCTGTATGCATATTCTAGTGTCACGTTTTACTGTGCATCTCTTAACTAACCTAACCATTACCAGAAGCTGGATGCTGAGTTAGGGACAGCTCTGGCCTGACTGAAGACACGTCTCACAGCAGGGACAAAAGCAGCAGTGGGCTGAGGGGGTGGTCAGCTCTCTGTTGTTTGGGGCATTTCTGATTCAAACATAGTTGATGGTTTCAGGAAAGCTTTCTGTAAATGTGTTTTTTGGAACCTGCTGAATTTAATGGCATAACACCATGCAACAGGTTAATTAATTAATCTTTTGTTGATCAGTCTTGTGAATAGTTGAACCCTCACTGATCTCACACTGAGCTGTGAGTTGTCCCTGTCACCTCCAGCGTGGCCACCGTGTGGCAACGCTGGATCCAGCACACTGCTAGTCCCAGAGTGGTCCCAGAGTGTGACTTATTTACTAAGTTATAAACCCCAGCGTGTCGTAGTTTTGTCTCACGATATGGCAGACATGGTCTCAATTTCTGTTGACTCCAAAGAAATTAAATGCTGTCATTGCTTTGATCAGATTTGTTTATTTTCACTGATGCTCACTTGCCTCAAGCTGGCAAGGGGACAGGCGTGTTTTGATGAAAGGGAGTACGTCCCTGGTTAATTATCAATGGAGAAATACTTTAAAAATGTGAAAAGGAAGTAAATAATAGTAATAAAAAAATTCCATCATTAATGAGCGGCATAGGCAAACAAATCTCATTTTAAATTTTACAGTTGCTGGTGAATTTCATATGTTCAATTGCTTCAATATTTTATTTTTAAAAGTGTAAGTTATAGAAGTAGACTATCACATTTGTTTGCTGCTTGTCATGTTTCTGATTTTATATAGTTTGTTTTGGAAGAGTAATTCAGCTGAAAATAAAGCAAACTCATTTTTTAATTTTGTACCCAGGCTTGCAGCATTGTTTTTCTCTGCTTTATATTTGTAGCCTAATGTTTCATAAATTATTTAGGAAAACAATTAAAGTTTCTGTATTTGGCAAAACAGGTTTTTCTTATTTGGTAAACTAATAAAGCTGGATACTTTTACCAGGGTTTTTCCCCTCCTTCCCTTTCAGAAAGCATATGTACATGTTGTGTATTAATAGTAGAGTATCAGACTTCACCACTTACTGCCTTAAAAAGTGTATTTACATTAAGCTCGAACCTGATTTCTGTTTATGCTGAAGCTAGTTCAAAGAATTTTTTGTCATGTAGGAATTAGAGTGAACATGAAAGTTAAGCACGTACTTTTTCTGAAGTGGAAAATGAAAGAATCGGCTACATGGGCTTAGGTTTCTAAGTATGAGAAAAAGACATTATGGCAACCTTTACAGCATCCAGATGTGTGTGGGAAAGAGACAAAAATATATGTGTACATCATGAGAGAGTGGAGATAAAAGTTTTGAAGAGGACTATTGTTAGAAGGAGATGTTTGAAATGCACAGAGATGGCACAGGGATCTTTTATGCATGTGTGGATTTCAAGTGTTATAGGTAATCAAAGTGTTTTGCAGTGACCTCAGTGCTAGGTTTCCTTCTTCCTTCAAGCAGGCAGGAGAGAATAAAGTGAATTCACCTGCTTTGGTTGCCTGAATCAGAGTGCCTGGATCTTCAGCCTTTGCTGGCACGAGTTGTCCCATCAATTGCAATGGGACTGCTCGTGTATGTAGAGCTTCTTGTAGTTAGGTTGGTGTTACCAGGGATTTGTGAGTTTGAGCTTAAAGTGGGCTTTGGAAAGGACAGAAATTTGCCTTTGTGATCGCCACATGATTTGCATTTTGTTTGGATAAAGCCCATCCCATTGTCCTTTCACACAGTGTGACTGTGTGAGGCAAAAAGCTCTTTAATCAGTGTTGTTAAGTATGAGGCAGAATGCAACTGGTGTATGTACTGTATTCATATGCATTTTGAAAAATCATACTTTTATGCTTTTATAAATCTACAGCAGTTTTAAGTGCTGTCTTGGCTGTATTCCAGTGTTTCTGGGAAGAGTATTTGACCATTTCTTAGCCATAGCAATAGGTACTTTAATATACTTTTACCTTTCACTGGCACTCACCTACCAAAGTTCAAGTTGGGGTGAGAGTATCAGGAGAAATATGTGGATGAAACAGCTAATGTCTTAATGTAATAAAATAATTGCCAAATAGGGAGGGGATCCAGAATATTTCTCAGTGATTCCTACTGGTAAATCACAGTGAAAATGTTGGTAATTAAAAATCCCGCCTGGTGGTTGTAGATGTTATGTTCTCCCTCTTTCCTCCCTTTTTCCTTCTTTTCTTTCCCCTTCATCTGGTTGCCCCTCTCTTTTTAGCCTTTTCTTCCCATTTAAAAAATGTAGCTGCAACCTGAATTGACTTGTGTTTTCTTTATGGGAGGCAGGATCAGAGGTTGAAAAAGAAAAAAGTGAAATAAGGGAGTGTATGAAGTTTATGAGTGCACCACAGGCTTAAGCAGAAATCTATTGCTTGAGTGTGGTCAAGATGGATTGAAACATTTAATGGCAATTGCTTCTTTTGTACAAGCCCCTGTGCAGACACCGCGAAAAAGGGAGAACGGCGTGTTTCCTTGAAGTGTATAATTTTTGTTTGGTATTAATTTGGAAAATAAAGGTTGTACAAGCATGAAGTGTGGGAGAAAAATAGAAAAGGAAAAGATAATGGGAAAAGTGATCAGTCACGGCATTTTAGGCTGCATTGTGTGGAAGGCTCCCTTTTACCTTCCTTACTGTAATGGGTAATTTTAAGAAATGGGATTTTTACTGATGTTAATCAAAATATATAAATGAGAGACTTCAACTAGCCACAACAGAAAAGGTATGTTTAATAGTTGTAGGCCATAGTACTCAAATATAACAAACTATATTCAGTGCCTGTGGCAATCTTAATACATATATTACGAATTAAAAAGCTACTGTTTTCTTTTCTAGTTCAACTTGATCATCACCAGAACAAACTCTACAAGAGATGGTAAGAGGTCTTTATGGGTTTCTGTGTGATAGCTTAGTCACATTTAAATACAAAATGCATACAAGCACTTATTGAACTGTGAATGCAGACATGTAAAAATTAGATGTGAAAGTAGCTAAATTGCTTTGAAAATAGAATTCAGATTACAACAATGAGTGATTTGTCTACTCCTGGGAAGACTCCAGAGACATAACAGGAAAATAACAGAGGACTCTGATCATTTGCCTTAGATTTATAGCTTTTGTTTCCTTGAGGAAATCTCTTATTTCCATTTATTCCACAGCTGAAAAAGCACAGACACAGAACTGAGTTAGACTAAAAGTGTTCCTTTCCCTTTTCCACCCCAATGTGAAACATTTCTGTAATTTCTTTTTTAACAGATGTATTTTTAAAATTCAGATGTAAGAGGGATTTTCAAGGGTCGCTTCCAACAAAAAAAACCCAAAAAAAGTAGTTGGACAAGCACCAGGATCACAGTTCTGTCTACATGAACTGGCTTTTTGTCTTTCTTTCCCCTAAATTAACAACTGGAACTAGTCAGCTAGACAAATCAACCAGCTGGATTCCAGAGCTTGCAGTAAGGTCATCAATGCCCTTTTTAGAAACATTGTAAAAGAACTGGAGAAAATTTTTGAGCTTTAAAAGAATGTACTGTCTTCTTTGGAGATGCACAGAATGTAGGAGATACCTGCTTTTGTCAAGCTTTATGGTGTTTCAAAACTGGATTTTAAAGTATTTTAATATTTAAGGTAAAAAATAGACAAAATGTTTTAAAAGTAACCTGTGAATGTGTTAGATTTAATAACAGGACATTCTCATCTGTCTGCTGGAGGATGAGGAGTCAGTGTGACATTCTTAAGCAAAGGGAAACAGTAATTAAAACATAGTTCAGCCTAGCTTTTAGGTAGTTGGATGATTAAGAATGAAGAAATTCCATATGGAAGGCAGATGCTTTTCTTGTACCCACTCATTTTGGGAATAAATAATCTAAACTTCATGGTCCGGTAGCTGTGTAATGTTAGACCAAGAGGAGACTAACAATGAAGTTTCAACTCCATGAATTCTTACTTTTCAGGAAAGATAAGTTGTATGCACTTTTAAATTATGTATCTGAGCTCCATAGCCCTTCACAAATAGGTTGTAGTTTTTGATCAGAAATATCTTAAGGAACGTAAGTTTGTTGTGGTGGGTTTTCTCTATGTAGTCTGTTAGCTGAAGGTATTTTGTTTCTGAGAGCACTTAGCAATGACCTTAAAAAGAGATAGCATTTATAGATCTCTTTTGGGATAATGGACTCAATTTTGCAGAAAAAATTAATTTTGCAGGAAGTTACAATTATTATTCCAAACTCACTAGTATTTGCATTATTACCTGAGAAGCAGAAAGTGAAAACAAATGTAAGTAAACTAAGTTAACCTCTCTTGATAGTGTTAGCATTAAACGGAAAGTATTTCTTGGGTTTGTTTTTTCTGTTTTGCTTTGGGATTTTTTTCCCAAAGAATCATTCTTTTAAGACTATAGAACGGTGCCGATCAAGAGAACAGGCTTAAAGATTTTTGTCTTGTATGTCCTTTAAAAAAAACCAACTTAATAAAGGACTGTAAATGTCACATTCATCTCTGAAAACCTCAGTTAATCTTGCCATAGTTTTGAGTGTTTGCCAAAATATGACTTAATTAAAATTTTCCAATTTGAAGTACAGGCTTTCCATTTTAGCCCAGATCAAAGATTTTCTATGGAAATTAAGATGTGGGGGGAATGAAAAAAAAGATTTGCTGTTTAGTTTACTTTATGGTCTTCTTTTAAGACCCTTTATTATTGCACTTTTTGAGAGTAGGATGAGAAGGGAGATGAAATGGCTTGTATGAAGGGAGCTTAAGGCTAGAGGGACTGTGGGGCTTTGTAGTTGCTGGTGAGGTGAAATCTGAACAGCGTAAAACTGGTTTTATTCAGGAAAACTAAGATTTACTGGAAGACAGGAGGTGTGTTACAGTATGTTTCATTCTATAGAGCTGTTTTTCTCCGTACTTTATCAGTGACACTTTATTACCTCTTTTCATGTTTTGATTGCTGATGAGCACAAAAGGGAGATTTGCTGGCAGCTTGCATTTGGCCAAATACAGTCTTGTTTTTGATCGAGGCCATGATGGATATATGAACTTGTCTGAATTGCCATTTGACCTTTTCTGAGAAACTTTGGCAGGCAGAGGCAGGAAATATGTTACTGGATAAAATGAATGCCTTTGTTTAATATGGAGGAATTTTAATCTCTTGTGTTTTCTGTCTGCGGATTTGGAAATCAGGTGTGGGTTGTAATACCTACACCTTGGAATGATTCAGTTCTTACAACTCACGCGAGTGGCTAAGGAATTGTGGAATATATGCACACAGCACATTCCCTAAAAAGAACTGATTCCCACTGTAGTAGCACGAACACTTGGAAAATACCTTCTGGATACTACAACTCCTCTGTTGCTAGTTCTTCACTGGTAGTTGTGTTGATGCAAAAACAATCTCTTGTAGGAGTAATGAAGTGTAGGAAGTAATGCATGTGCACTGTGTTGTCATTTTTCAAGTGTGCATGTTTTATCATAGGTAAAGGTTTACTAGTGATTAAAAGGCAGAATTGTGCTTGCATTTACAGTGTTTCTCCCTTAATTATTGTTTTTCTCTCTCTCTTTGTTTGTGGGTCTTTATTAAAAAAATAAAAGGGGGAGTTCATTTTTTTTTTGTCTTTCCCTCTCCCCCATGTTTTGGCTACAGGGAGACACCGAGCCGTGGTATTCTCAGAAGGTGTACACGAGATACTGGAAGCACTATAACTTAGCCATGCGCTGGATGCGGAGGCACCAGAAAGCCTACAGGAAAGCCATGGAGTCCTTTTATCACCTACCGTGGCATCCTCCTGCAGCCTCTCCAAGTAGCCACTACTCAGACTGGGATGGGAATGATCTCCCACATACCCAAAACTATTCTTGCCGCTATCGACCACATGGCGAAGCTCTGTATGGTGGGGGAGCTCAGCAGTGCGCAGGTGCCCACCGAGGGAGGGAGGATGCTGAAGAAGTCTCTGAAATGGAGGAGGATGCTGAAAGGGACTCCGAAATGGAAGAAGGCTCCGAGTCTGAAGGGGAGATAGAATATGACTTGAGTAACATGGAGATCACAGAGGAGCTTCGCCAGTTTTTTGCAGAGACAGAGAGGCACCGGGAAGAGCTGCGTAAGTCCATACTTGTTCTGTGTTTTCTGCTATTTGATGGCCATAACACTGAGTGCTGGATGGCTTCAATTTTTACAGGTTTTGCAAGAATTCTCAGAAATAGGCACTGCAAGTGAGGAAGCCAAGCAGAATGAAGCAGGCAAAACTGATGGCTGCGCTTCAGTACCATTTATTAGAAATAAATCTGTGAAAATGCTTGAAAGTTTTTTGGTGAGGGAGAGAGAGAGAAAATTGTGACTGCAAAGAAGAGAATAACGCATTTGTTCAGAGGACAGTATTAATCTTCAGCACTGAAGAAAAAAAGCGGTGTTTTTATGGTTAAATCTAGTTAGCATGCTGTATTTCTGAGAGGGGAACCCACAGGAAATGCTTTATGACATCACTGAACCCTAGAGTAAGCCTCAGTGTATTTTATAATGTGGAGCAGCCATTTTGTTTGTTATTCTTTGGCTAACCTGACAGTAAAATTTCGTGACCCTTTTCTTCTCCCCCTGCATCCTCTTCATTCTGTACTGTACCACAAGTTTCTCTTTGTTTCGCATCTTGATCTGGACCCAGGTCTTTTAGGAGGGATTGTAAGCCAAAGACTCAAGATTTTTCTCAGGTCTTGATCCTCAGAGGTATTGGTCATCTCGTTTCTGTGAAATCCTTAAAAGAAATAAAGGATTATGCTGTACTTCATTGACACTTTACTCATATACAGATGTTGCAGGCAAATTTATCATGCTCTTTTAAGAAAGCAGAATGATGAAAATAACTCTTCACACATGATTCCGGTAGTAAATGCCCAGAATGAATGCTTAATAGAGCTTTCTCTGAAAGAGAAAATGTTCTAAAAAGGTATAATAAAGGCAGTGATTGGGAGGGAAAGACAGAAATGGTTTTATTTTAAGTTCTTTGATTAGAAGGTATCCAGTGAGCTGAAACAATTCAGCCTAACTTCATACTTCTCATCAGTATGATGCACAGTTGATATAGTTAGCAGAGGAAGGTGAGTTAAGGAGCTCCCGTTGTAGTGCCTGACATGAATCCCTTTCTCATCATGCTTTTGCAGAATCAACTTGGTGTTCTCTGGGTAAATGTTCCTTTGATGAGGTACATGATGCTTTAAGATGCTGGGCTGCTTCTGGAAATGCAGAACATTTTCTTTGGATTTATTTTGATTGTTATGGTTAGTGGTGTTTAAAGGTATGTGAGTGATTAAAGTGGAATTGGGAGATCTGGACTCAGAGATGTTCTCTGTTCCAAATATCCTGTATGACCTTGGTATAGCTATTTAATCTCTTCCTGACCCCTTGCTGGCTGCTCTTGCTAAAAATATGATTTAGTTCTTTGTGATGAGCAGGTGAATTGGGAAGAGGTTTGTGACTCAGAATACAGATTTTACTGCTTTTCCTTCCACCACAGTGGTACTTGGAGCCGTTTGGAAGGATTAGGTCTCTGCTGGGCGCTATGTAGCAACCTACTTCTGCATAAGTGTAACTCCATTCACTTCAGTGTCACTGTTGCAGATCTTCGTGCAAATTTAAGTGGGCTCTGGTCTTTAGCTACTCCATGCCTCAGTTTCTTTAGTAGCTTCCCTGACAAAATGAGGATAGTACTAAGTAATTGTCTATAATTCCTCAAAGCAGGAAAAAGTAAACAAGTACTTGATTTAATTGCAATTTAGAAGTGCCACAGAAGTCTTAGGTGAATGGTGCTATCTAAATGCTAATTTTGTGAGTAATTAAAAATACATTTTGATCTTGCTCAGAAATAATTTTTTCGTGCATCGTAAGGGAAAAAGAAAATAGAATAAATTTTTTATTCTGTTGAAGTTTCTCAAAGAAAAACATAAGCACCAAGGAGCAGGGGAAAGTCATTGTTTCCCTGATGGTGTGGAAGTGAGCTTGTATGGAGTTGAAGGCAATACTACTGTACTTTAAGAGGTAGTTTTACTAATTTTCCTGGTTGCTGTTTATGAACAAAATTAAATGTAGAAGTTCATTAAGCTGTGATCCATAATGATGCTATCATGTTATATCTTTCATATTGTGCAGAAGAACAGTTGTCATTCTGTATTGATGCTTGAGAAGGTGGAGATAATGCATCCACAAAAGAAATCCATGGTTATTTCAGTATTTTCTCCTTAATGCCTTTTCCTTTTAATCCCAAACTGCGTGTCCTGGGCTGCCTCCTCTACCTGAGGAGCAGATTTGTAGAGAAACTTGGGCACTGTAAACCTCAGTAGTGCCTGAAATTTAGGCCTCTGTGTCTGAAAGAGGCATTTGTGATGGTGAGGTAAGAGTTTTACATATTCTTTGAAGAGAATGGAAATGTTTGGGTATGTCAAAGTGGAATACCAACAGAGATCTTGATGATCAGTTGAAGTGTAAGCCAGCTGTTAGGGAACATTAAGGGGAAGGCTGTGCCTCATGTTTTCTTCCTCTGGCATAAATAAAGGACTCCAGGTGGAACTCAGAGCCTTTGACCCCTGCACCTTGATATTCACTTGAGAAAAGACACCCAGCTTGCTCTTCCATTAAAAGAAGAGTTTGCAAGAGTTTGATACATGTTTATCTGCAACTTGCATGGGAAAAAAGCAGCAATGGGACAAATAGAAAATGAAATTTGGCACATAAGGAAGGGAATACTAATCTTTGTGAAGGATAAGTTCTGTTAGTCCGGTGTTTTTCAAGCCCTGCAAAAATTAGGAAATACTACACAGCATTAATGCAGGTGTTTTGGGCACGCATAGTGAGAGTCCAGATTTTCCAAGTAAGATATAGTTGGTTCCCACACACGATCCACGTCTCGTCAGCATGTAGAAGGATAATCAAATAGACTAAAATGAATACTAGCTGATGTCAGACTCTTCACTTACAATGCCTGATCTAGGGCCTGCTGGAAGTGAATGTGATCACAGACATCAGAGGATAAGATCTTGCAAACTCTAACTGTAAAAAACTTAAATAAGCCTGAGATGTAGGTGGCAATGAGATGACTCGAAGATCTTGGAGGTGTTTTCCAGCTTTAGTGATTGTATGATTCTCTGGTTCTATGAAAGAGCTTTGTGCCTGGATAGTGACATACAAGCCTTAATGCTAGCTGCAAAGAGAAAAGTTTCAGAGATAAGAAAGCGATTGTGTCAGACTAGCCAAAGAAGAAAACTTCAGGTGCATTTCATTTTTTAGTAACTGCTGCAGACTTGAAGAACAAGCAGATTCCTTACTGCAGTAAGCAATTGTTTTGTTTTCACAGTGGGCATTTGCAGTGATTGGCTGACTTGCAAAGTAAGGGCTTTGGCAAACTTGCTGCAAGATTTAACACTTCTGCAGTGATATAGTTCACAAGCAACCTCTTTTAAAACAATCTCTTCTTTTTTGCCTTGAATTCATGTCAAATTCTTACTAGTTTTTATATTCATGTCATGTGTTGCAGCCAAGTTACATGTTCCTGGAATGCCCAGAAGTAATTGCAAACATAGTTTTGCTGAGGCTATATGAACGCAGACATACTAATGCACTACAAACTTATCTAGATATATGGTGCATTTAGTTAAAATCCCTTACAGACAATTTTAATTCCTTTCCTCTTCAGTTGTGTCTTCATACAGAATCATAATTATACAGAATCATAATAATGATTTTCCCTTTTTAGAGGATTTTCTTGTCAGGCTAGTCTGTTGTTCTGGTTCTTCATGTAACTGGGGATCCTAATAGACTATGCTCCTTGGGGGTATTTTTAGTTGCATTTAAAAGTCTTCCCTCTGGCTGTCGGAGAGCATGAAGTTGTTATCCTGGGTTACCATACCTGTCAAACCTAGGTAGGGTACCAAATTCTCCAAGCATCCAGGATGTAAAGGACAGAATGCAGTAAGTTGCCTTTTATATTTGCAAGAACTGAAAGGGCAGAAACCAAGAAAGGAAGATTCACAAGCCTAACAATTCTGTAAAATGTCTAATTGTACATATTTATTACACTTTTAAATTTAGCTTTTGAAACATGTAGTTTGTCCTTATGTAGTTTTTCTTTGTTCCCTTTTACATAAAAGAGAAAACACTGTAATTGGGTGAGTACAGCATTGGGAGTACATTGAGAACCATTCTGTAGTAGTTAACAGGAAACGAGACAGTGTCTTTTATTTAAAAACAAAGAAAAGGAAGGGAAAGTACCATCATGTCAGTTCATTACTGAAGGATAATAGTCTGTCATTTGTTAATGCTCTGAATAGTTTTTTCCATTAAAGCTTCTTTTTGTATTACCCACACATACCCTCCAGCTTCTCCCAAAAATATCGTTGTCTCAACTTAAAATTTTCATGCTAAATGGAAAACTTTTCTTTAAAAAATGAAAGGAAATGGTGGATGAAGATGTTTCTTTCAAAACTGCAATTTGTAGGTTTTTTTCCCTCAAGTTTCTTTTTCTCTGAAAGATCATAGTTGCCACTGCCTCTTTTGTGAAGAGGGAGTAATGGAATTTTCTGTGTTTTGAAATTTGTTTGAATTGTACCAGATCCGTGAAGCTTTTGGTTTTGTTTAAGGCCTGCATGCAGCTTTGGAAAAAAGACTTTGATTCAGGGAGTTTGCAAGTATGTTTTCCTTCTTTCCTTTGCTTTTGGTAAATATTTTTGTCCTGTTTTGTCTTTTTCTCCATCAGACTGTAGCTCAAATTCTTGAACTACAAATTCCTGGTCTCCAGCATTTCTGTTTCTTCCTCCCTGCCCTAAACTGTCCAAGCGTTATGGATGGTGAACTTACAAATATCTGATCAACTTCCTTGACTTTATCAGCCTTGGCTGACAAACTTTTTGACTGCCAAAAAGCTTTGTTTGGCATGAACTTTCACCACAATCTTTAGAAGTTGAGTTGCTGAAGCTTCTGAGAAATGCCTGTGAAATAAGAGCGCTCTCTGCAATGTGTGTGGGTGCTTGAGATGCTTTTGAAACATGTTTTTATGCGAGCTGAAGAAGAAATGTGAAAATCACTCCTTTTGTACCACACTCTGATCTTGATGATTGA